TAAACAGTGTCCAGCATGGGAATTATGTGAGTCTGGGAGAGAGACCTCTCTGATGGCGTCACACAGGGGAGGATCCTGATGCCATCTGTATCCCCTGAGACGGCAGACACTGCCCCTGAAAGCCAGGGCTGCAGCCGCCAAAAGCAGCTTAATCCCGCTGAGCACCGGGATAATGGGGCATGGCCGGGATGGAGGCAGAGCACGGCACAGCTGAGGAGCCTCTGAGCTGCGTGTGCGTGGCTTCATTGCCAGGCCTTGGCAGAGGGGGGGCGAGTCGTGATTCATCTGCCTCCCACACGTCGCCCCCTCGCTGCAAATCCTCCCCGGAGATAATTGCTGTCTTCCTGAGTGGGTACTCCAACAGAGGGACCAGCCCGGCTGCGGAGCCGCAGCGACAGCTCGGGGCTCTTTGAAGATGCTGAGAGAGCTGCTAAATATGCAAATCTAGGCACACTGCTGTGGCGCTCATTTAATGGAGTTGTTGACCCTCCGCAGCTGTTTGGGAGCAGGAAGAAGCAGACCCAACTAAAACTGTGGAATGCAGCATCCCTGCTTGACTATTCCAGCCACGGGCCAGCCAGGCTCCTTTAATGGCTGAGAGCTGCTCTGAAATGCCATTTCTGAAAAGCAGAGAGCTGCTGGGTCATGATTCTGCTTTGATTCCATGAAGACAACTTAAAAGAGAGAGATAAGGGCATAGCCCCAGGTCACTTTGCCCATGGCTGGAAACTAAAGCAGGTCCTGAGCCGCTCTGGGAATGTCCCCAGTGGAGCAAAGCCAGCTCTGCTTCCTGCTCCAGGCTTCTTTCAGGGCTGCATCTGGTTCACGATGATAATGATGGTTCCAACATGATGCTCACGCCTGGGATAATCCCCCTTTTATTACATGTGTCCTGATGGGGACAAATACTGCCTGTTCTGCCTGTCCAGTTTATTATGTAACAGCTCCCAGGGATTGAGGGTTGCATGGGAGGGAGATGCTTGGTTTTTGGAGTAAGCTCCTTGGGGAAGAAACCTTATATCTGACTCCACCATTCCACAAGGAGCCAGCTGATTCCCCTGAGAAACTCCCCGCCGCTCAAGCCCAAGTGCTGATCACACCTGGCACAACCAGCAGCCTCCCCATCCTCACCACAAAGAAAGCTCATCCACTCTGGGCAGGGCTGCCTTTAGCTTCCTACTGGCTGCCAGTGCTGTTGGAGACGTCTGGATCAGGCACAGGACACTGCTCTTCTTTCCTGGCGAAGTCCCCTGCTCTCCCTGCAGAGCAGATCAATCAGCTAAATGCTTTATCCCTCTGCAGCCAGTCATGCCGGGGGAAGGGGGGGGGAAAGCCTAATGGGATCCTTGTGCTGGCCTGTCACCTTAAAGCCTCTCACCTCTCCCTGTCTTTCATCGGAGTTATAAACTCCTTAGGATGTCATCACGTGCTCCATAAATAACAAATATATATAAGCAGGGGATGCAGGGGATGCAGCAGCCAGAAGAGGGGAGGCAAAACCCCAGATCTTCCTCTTCTGCCAGCGGTGAGACAGCACCACCAGAGCCAGGCAGGCAGAGGAGCAGCGTGGGGTCCCTGTCGGGTAAGCACCCCCATTTCTGTCCCATCCCTGGTGGCACTGACAGCCTTGGGGACAGCTGCTGGTCCCCTGGCCACTGTCACTTGCCTCTGTATCCCAGAATGGGAAGAATTGCCCCAGAGAGGAGGGAGGTTGGTGCATGGAGCTTAGCTTGCTGAGAGTGATTTTGGTGTAGGGAAGGGTGTGACTCTCATCCCAGCCCATGTCCCATCTCCACACTTCCAACACATGCTACCAAAACTCAGCTGTAGGGACTCTTCTCACTGAAACCCTCTGTGTTCTGGGTGTGGGAAGAACTCAAGCTCTTTTGCACAGAATATTTGACTTCAGAACTAGGCGAATAACTCCTTACTATCAACTAACTTAGAAAATCCAGCTTCAAACCCAGGCAGACATTCATAACTTAATGAAAGGATGCTGTCAGGGGGGCACTGTGGACTGTCAATTTACACGTGAGCATCTCTCTGGACCACGCAGATGGCCTGAGCTCTGGTGCACAAAAACAAGGGGTGGGGGAGGAATTTACAGAGCAAGATCTTGGTTTGCTGCTATGACACACAAATGTGGGTTCATCTCAGGCAGGTCTGGCAAGGAGTTACAGCACAAAATTCAGCCTGGGGTATAAGTGACTTGAACAAATACAGGAGGCTCTGTTGGAGCACTGGAACACAGATGTCTTGAGCCAGGGAGAGAAATTTTCCTCATCACTCTGGCTCTCACTTACTGTGTGACTTGGGATGAGTTTCCTTCACCTCTGCAGGTTGGATGTTCCCCAGTGTCCCAGCAGTGGTGGTGCTCCCATGGCAGTGCAGGGCCTGGGGTTGTCTCTGGGGATGGGGAGCATGGCTGGTTCCTCTGTGCTCTGCAGGTTCTGTGTACCCCTGCCTCCCCAGAGGACCTTTGCACCTGCAGGGAGCTGAGAAGCAGAGTAAGAAATTAATTTCCAAAAAAACCAAACACAGTTATATCAGCCCTTTAGCTGTATAACCTGGGTTGCCAGGAATAAAGTGCTGGAGGGGAAAAAATACAAGAAAAACAAGCCGAGGAGCAGCCTTTCCCCATCACCAACTACTGCTCCAGGCTGTTGCTGGTTGGGGTCTCAGGAAATTTCTAAAATTAGCTGGAGGGATCTGATTGCTCTTTCCCAATTATCTCTAATGGGAATGGAGCAGCCACTTACACAAGAAGTCTTGAACTCCTCAGCTCTGTGAATGTCCCTGTAGAGACTTTCCATGATTCAGTTGTTCCCTTCATTTGCTCTGGGATAAAGTCTTGCTCTTGGACAGTGAGCATTGAATGGTGACTATTGGTGAGCAAACATCCTTGAGGAATCTGATCGAGTGGATGGTGTCCCTTCTTATGGCAGGGAGGGTTAACTAAATGACCTTTAAGGGTCCCTTCCAACACAAACCATTCCATGATTCCATAATCCAGCTCCATAATTCCCATGGCAGCTGAAACACCAGCCCTGCCTGAGGCCATACTCAACTGACCTCTCTGCTCTGCCATCCCTGCACAGCCATCCCAGGCCTGATCCAGCAGCATCCCCAGAACTTGCCCCAGGCACTCAGCACCACCCAGGATCAAACCACCGTTGCATTTTCTAGGTCCTCCGAGCCTACCCTCTTGCCTGCTCTGGGATTTGTCCATGTAGATGAGCCCCCAATCCAATTAGCAGGATGAGGAGTTCCAGAAGATTTGATAATAAACTCTACAAACACTACAACACCCCCCCCCCCAGTACCCTACTCTCCCCTCCAGCTCACCCCTTTTACTTGCTTCCTGCAAGAGTATGAATCACTCATTTCCAGCACCAGTTCAGTCAGCCCTTGTTTACTAAAATGAGCACTGGGAATGCTAAATAATTCTTGTGCCAAGGAAACCCCCTTTCCCTAATGGATCTGATCCCCTAGATACACATTCACTGCCAAAACAGCAATTCACTGAAAATAAATCCCAACACCACGCTGTCTCACCGCAGACTGGATAAGACTGGCATTTCAAGCACCCAGCCCTCGGCATTTCAGGATGGAAAATTCCCAGCTTGCGCCAGTTCTGCCCTGTGCAATGTTTGTGCTGGTAATGCTTCTGTTTCCATAAATCCTATTAGCTGGAGGCAAGCCTATAATTAGCAGGGAAAGCCGGCACCTCTGAAACAATAATCAAGAATGACCTGTCTTTGCTCTGGCTTTGCTGCAAATTACTTGAATATTGGGCTGAGCAGGGATGGATGGATGGGTCTGGGAGACATTCCCACTGTTTCTGCCAGTGGGATGCATGTGCTTAGGAAAGTTATTCGCTCAGATTTTGGTTCTCTCTGAGTTTACTAACTTAGTTCACTCACGTGTGAAAGCAGAGGCAGATTGAAGCTCCAGACTCTGATCCAGGCTGAGGGATTTGTCTGTGCTGTGCAGGATGGGTGCTGCTGGATGAACTCGGGTGCTGGTGACCCTCTGGGGGTAACCCAGTGGTCTGGGGTCCCGTGTCACCGGTGGAGTGTCCTGGCATGGGCTGTGTCTGATGGGATCATGCTACCCAAAGCTCCTGGGGCAGGGGGTGAAGCCCGGGGGCACCTCACCAGGGAGGACACCCGAGGCTCACAGCCTCAGGCACCCGCTTGGTCCTGCCACAGACCCATATCTGTGAGTGTGGATGTGACCTAAGAGCCCAGCAGAGGTTAAGCTGTGTCACTTATCTGCTGAGTGAGCTGGTGGAGGGCGTAGATCCTGTCAGGCCATGCTGTCTGGAGGAGGTGGCTCTGGGTGCCTCACGTGTGTCCGTGCCAGGGCACCTCAGTGCACACTCAGTGACCTGGCCCTGACCTCTTGTTCAGGCACAGCTGTGCTGCTCCACAAATGCAAGAGCATCACAGGGAGCTTATTTTTGGAGCCTCTTAGCTTCCTGCAGCCCCATCCCACTCTGCCTGTCCCCAGGGCAGCAGCGGGACTTGCCCCAGAACCCTCCTACCTGGTGCTGGCATGGACTGGGAGATGCTGGGCAGGATGCTCAGCTCCACACCTGCTTCAACTCTAACGGTCCCAGCCTCTTTCCCTGCTCTATCCCACTACCTGGATCATAGGGCTTTTGTCCCCCTGTTCCCTGGGGTTTGCTCAGCCCACAGCTGGTGCCAGCCTCCCATTCCCCAGCTCACAGCGAGGCCGGGCAGGGTCACTGTGGGTGGGTATTTGCTGTATACACACACACACACACACACACACACATGTATGTATAGGAAAAGCGGGACAAGCAGCCTAACCCTGTCTGTGATCCACAGGTATTTCTGGCATCTAAGAGTGCTGGAGGAGCTTGGCTGGAATAAAGGGTGCCCGTGCCGCCGGGTCTGGGAGCCGGCAGAGGCTGCCCCGAGCAGAACAGCGGGAAGCAAGGCAGCAGTAAGAGAAAGAGGAGGAGGAGGAGGAGGATGCCGGCGCTCAGCGCGTTGCCTTTCCTGAAGCCCGTTCACCTGAGGTCGCCCGGCAGGTCGCCGGGGGGCCAGCGCCGGCACACGCTGCCAGCCAGCGAGTTCCGCTGCCTCAGCCCCGAGGACGCCGTGAGCGTGTTCGAGATCGAGCGGGAAGGTAACGGGCACCCGCGGGAGCTCCGTCCGCTGGACACGACCCATCCCTTTCCTTCACCAGTCCCTCGTGCTCCTTCAGGGCACACTGTGGTGTGTACCCTCGTGGGAGGGATACAGCAGCCGTGACTTGTGGCCAGGCCACCACGGGCTCCCTAATGAGGTGAGGGAGCTTTGGTTAACGAGCTGGAGAACCACAGCCATAACTCAGTCTGGGGTGGGGATGGTAGGAGTTGATGCCCCAGGCTCAGTAGGACCAGGTGAGTGGGGAGCAGCTCTCCCAAAATAGTCTTGTGAGAGCCAGAGGGCAGGAAAGGAGAGGGAGAAGTGGGAGGAAGGATATCCTATTGCATAGGGGCACTTTGAGATGCACTCCCTGCAACCTTCCCTCTATCCCAGGAATCCCAGCTTCCCTCACCCAGACTCACCCAGCTCATTTCTCCCTCCTCTCCAAGGCCAAGGGCAGCTGGAGAGGTGCCAGGAGGGAGGGTTCAACTCAGCACTCACTGCTCTAGCTCTGGAATTAGCAGTGAGAGCAGAGCTGGTCACTGGGCCATGGAGGCTGCCTCTGGAGGAGTTGCTCCCTGGAACCATCCATGTCCCCTAGAACTCCTTTAAACCTAGCAGACAGCAGGACACACACCATCTCTCTCCATTACATCCTGCTTTCCCTCCTCTACATTGGTGCTGGGAGGTTTTTTGAGTCTGGGTGTCCTTGGTCCCCCTCACTGAGCTCACCATTGTCCCCCTCCAGCCTTTATATCTGTCTCTGGGGACTGTCCCCTCCACCTGGATGAGATCCGCCACTTTCTGAACCTGTGCCCGGAGCTGTCTCTCGGCTGGTTTGAGGAAGGGCGGCTCGTGGCATTCATCATTGGCTCCCTCTGGGATCAGGAGAGGCTCAGCCAGGTAAGACCCTGTTCTTCCCACCTTGTGCACTGGTAGAGGCACTGCCAGAGCCTGGGGATCAAGAGAAGCTCCCCGGGGTCCCGAGGTTACTCACCAAGTCTTCTCCCAGAACCAACTGCTACAGTGCTGCTCTGGTGAAAATGAACCTTCTCATTAATTAACTTGAACAATGCTGTTAAAAAAAATCTGCCAAGTAATTCCCCTCAACATTCATTTTAAAATTAAAAACCCTCCAAGGATGACGGGCGGGGGGGGGGGGGGGGGGGGAAAGGGGGTGGCCCCGGGTCCCTTCGCCCGGTGGGGGGAGCGGGGGGGGGGAACCAGCCTGAAGCAGGATGGTCCCACTAACCCCTGCCCCCCCCCCTCTGCAGGCAGCGCTGACCCTGCACAAGGCGCAGGGCACGGCCGTGCACATCCACGTGCTGGCCGTGCACCGCACCTTCCGGCAGCAGGGCAAGGGCTCCATCCTCATGTGGCGGTACCTGCAGTACCTGCGGTGCCTGCCCTTCGCCCGCCGGGCCCTGCTCATGTGCGAAGATTTCCTCGTGCCCTTCTACCAGAAGTGCGGGTTCGAGGCGCTGGGTCCCTGCGAGGTGACGGTGGGGGAGCTGGCCTTCATCGAGATGCAGCATTCGGTGCGGGGACACGCCTTCGTGCGCAGGAACAGCGGCTGCTGAGCCCCCTCCGCTCGGTCCCGGCTTGGGAGAGAGGCTGGGGTGGGATAAGAGGCTACAATCCCTCTCCATCCCCACCACATCCATCTTCCCCGGCTGGCCCTGGCTACAGCTACTCCCTCTGCCGCATCTGCCTTCCAGCCACATCAGCCTGGCCCCATCACATCCCTGCAGGGCTGGGCACAGAAACTCCTGTGCCTGATCCTGCTGGAAGCAGCTCTCTGGGCTCTGCTGGCAAGCCTGGGTGGGCTGCAGAGCCACGAGCTCCCCGGGATGGAAAGGCTTTGCCCTGGTTTGCTGACACACCCAGCAGAGCCCCTATATCCATGTGCTCCCAGCCCTGCACCCCCTCCCACCACCACAAGTGGAGCACACCCTGTCCAAGCTCTTCCTGAGCAGCCCCCAGAGCAGCCCCTGATCACAGACATATTTCCAGACCCCTTGGAGCACACCCTCAGACCAGGCAGGGGTCCTGGCAGCCACCTCCCCCTCCTGCCCACTGACATCTTTCCAGACCCCTTGGAACACGTGGCCATGGCCCATGGCCACTCCCAGCTGCATGTTGAGGAGCCTCCCCAGGAAGCCAGTCCAAACCATTCGGTCCTCCTTGTCCCAGACCCACAACTGGCTCAGGAGAAGCCTTCTGCAAACACCTCAGGCTGTTGGGAAGCAGCAAATAAAGATGTGGCAGTGATTTTCTATACAGCTCATGTGTGTTCCTGTCCTTCTTTGACAATCACCCTGCCACGAGGCCAGAAGAGGGGCACCAGCTGGCCCAAGGGGAGCTATCCAGCATCCTTTAGGGCACTTCAGCCTCAAGGGAGAAGGGGCAAATCCAGCCTTGGGTCATTCAGTAAAGGGTGAGATACAGGCAGGGGTGGGTTTGCCCATGAGCAGGGTCAGGAGGGTCCATGGATGTGGGTGTTTGACTTCTCCTTCTGCTCAAGACCCTCCAAATCCTGTCCTCTCCCAGGGAGGGGTTTGAGGAGCACACCAGGGCACAAGCCCCAGGCACTACCCACTCAATCTCCCTCCTTGCCACACCAACCATCACCAAAACAACCAGAACCACCCAAAAGTGCCACATCCCCAGGCCCGAGAAGGGAGAAGAGGCCTCGTGCGTCTCATTAAATACAGGTAGAAATTTATTAAGGGGGGGGGAAACCCACAGCTTTTAGAAAAAGTATCAAAAAGAGACAAATGAGGTGAAGTGTCTGTCTTTGGCTGGAGCAGCAACTGGAGGGACCAAGAAGGGCTGAAAACTGGCCCCGGGTGGAGGGAGGGATGCAGGTGCCACAGGCTCCTGGGATCACCTGGCCAGTGGTTGTGGGAAGGGAGCCAAGCTCCCAGCCCTTCAATACTCATCCCAGGACATCCTAACTGGGGGATTTCCACCTGCCCTCATTTAAAAGCACTGAGGCCTCCAGCACCAAAGCAACATATAACCAGGAAGACATCCTGGCACCAGCCTGGGTCCAAACCAGCCCAGAGGAGTCACCTGGACCCCAGGAAGGACCTGCCTTCGTGCCATGGCTGATGGGAAGGCAGAGGAGATGCTGGCAGAGCAGTCCAGGGCTGGAGGCAGCAAAGGGGGAAGGCAACTGCCCCATCCTGCACTTCTCCATCTGACCAGCACTGTTTCAGGAAGGGAGAGTTACCTGGGTCTGTAGGCTTTGAAGAAGGGAAAAGAGTAACAGGAGGGACTCAAGGCAGAAGGTGGAAGCACCAACAGCTTCTTGAGAGGTCTGTGGGCTTCAGGAGCAGCCGCACAAACCCCCCAGGGTGTTTTTCTCTGTGCCTGCCTACTTCACCATGGCAATACAAACATGGTCTATGCCACTTCTCCCCTTCAAAAAAGGGAATTTCACTGAAATAAGGGGAAGATAAGGCCCCCTGTCTCAAGTCCTGCCTCTCCATCCAGTGAGGAGTCAGGTGGGGAGGCACAAGCCTCCTTTAGGACCTCAGGGGGAACGAGACTGAAAAATACCTTTGAAGCTCAGCGCTGAACGTCTCAGAGCAATGACAGAGACTCCAGGGAGCCTGAAGTGGGGAAACCCTGGGCCTAAAGAGCTGTGGATAAAAGGAAGTGCCCCTGCAAAAAGGGGGTCGTGTTCACAGTATGAGCTGCAGCACCCAGAGGCACTGAGGTGGGACAGGGCCCAGGCAGGCAGGGACACAGGCTGGAGACCTCAGCAGCTTCACCCCTGGGCTGGGAGTCCAGCCTGGCTGTGGATACACCAAAATCCCACATCCTTCAGCCCTTTCCCCATGCAGGAGTCGGTCCCCAAACCAGTTATGGCTTTTCAGCACCAGGAGGCAGCCCAAAGGGGTGCAAGGCAGGGCTGGCTCAGGCCTGCTGCCCACTGCATCCCCAGCACTGAGCAGGACCCCAAACCCACCATCCCTGAGGATGAAGCTGTGCCTAGGGCCTGCCCCATCCTGGAGCAGCTGCTGCCATCTCCCCCACGGAAAGCATCCTCTCCCAGCCCTGTCCCCGCCGGCAGGGTCAGTGCAGGACCTGCTCCAGCTCGTACTTCTCGCAGAACTTGCTGGTGAAGGGCAGGCAGGTGAGATACTCCACCCAGCGCCAGTTCACCGGGTAGGCATAGAGCCAGACCACCAGCGAGGCAAAGAGCCCCACGAAGACCAGCAGGGACACGATGATCATGGCCCTCTTGCGGTACTTGTCCATCGTGCCGAAGGTGATGTAGGGCAGGAAGGCGAAGGACAGCAGGAGGCCACTGAGGAAGCCAAAGAGGTGGGCGATGTTGTCGATCCAGGGCAAGAGGCCACAGATGAAGAGGAAGAGGACGATGCCAGAGAGGTTGAGGAAGGCTTTCCAGGGTTTCTCCAGCACTTGCCAGCTCTGGAAGAGCTCCACGAAGAGGCAGGCCAGGAGGCCGAACTGGGACCCAGCAGGGCCCACCTGCAGGGATGGTGAGAGTCACAGCCAGACCCTGCACGTCACCCTAGACACATCCCCATGTCCCCAGGGATCATCTCCTCTCCTTGCAAAAGTCATTTGGCTTCTGCATCCCTGTGCAGGCTCCTGTGTGGGGCTCAGGGGTGGGAGCCTTGACACAGGAGGGAGAGGAAGGGAGCACATCAGGGCCGTTTTGGCAGAGCTGATATTTTCTGTGACTCAGCAGCCAGGAAGCATCACCTCCTCCCAAACCACAGAGCCCCCCCAGCCCCATCCTGACGCACCCCCGGGGTGATTAGGGTGCTTGGCGTGATCTCATTTAAAGCCTGAGAGGGTTTGGCTGGCAGCAGATTAGCCATCTGCCTGCCCGGGCACCCGGCACACACAGGGACACGTGGCGACGTGTGGCACACACGGCATGTGCGAACACCACACGTGGGGCAGAGACACCATCTCCCCCTGCCACCAGAGTGCCAGCCTCTCACCTTCCCTGCAGCAAAACCTGCCAGCAGATGTGAGCCCTGTGCTCCAGCCCCTTCCCCAAATTCCTGCCAGGACAGGGATGGGGAAGGATGTCCTTTAGTCCCCAAGGAGCTCACTGGGTTCAAGGTGATGTGGACAGAACCCCCCCAGGCCTCACCTCCGCCCTGTAGGGCAGGAAGATGGCACTGGCCAGATTTCCCGTGATGCCACTGAGGATGAAAATGATGGAGATGCGATGCCAGCCTGCCAGCTTCTCCAGGTCCCGCAGCACTGTCATCTGGAAGGTCACTGATACCAGGCAGTGGAGGATGCTGAGGGACAAACTTTGTGTTAGAGACCCCTGCCCAGCCCTCCCACCCACTGCCCCAGGGCACAAGACACCTTACAAAGCACCCTCCACAGATAGCATGTGTCACCACAGTGTGGGGGTGCACTTCCCTCTTCTTTCCCACCCCACCAGGGGTCCCACACCATCCCAATGGACACTCCCATCCCCATTTCCCCCAACCCTGTAGATGCAGGGGGCTGTGGCTCACCCGGCGTGCAGGAACAGGGACAGCCACAGGCGGTAGAACTGGTCAGGGACCTCTGGGTTGAGGAAGGGCAGGAGCCCACAGACCTCATCCAGGCAGTGCACCTGCAAAGGAAGAGGGTTGGGGGGTGGTGAAGGCTCAGCCCCGAGCCCAGAGCCACAGGGAGCAAAGGATGGATCACAGGGATGTGCAGCCAGTGATGCCGTGTGCCAGCTGTGGGGGGACCCCAGGTGGTGTGGGGCACCCGCATTGCCCAGATGCTGGAAAACGAGCAGCTGAGCATCCCCAGTGCCCCAGGAGATGCTGAAGGGCTGTTTTCTTGCCCAGGATGTGTCTTTCCCAAGGACACCAGCGCTGCCCAGGTGAGGCTGGCTCAAGCCCTACATTTCCTCCTGTACCACACCAGCAGGAGCCCAACCAAAAGCTGGGGCAAGCCCCTGTACTTTGCATCCCTCCTGCTCACACCCATCCCAACCGTGTCCCATTCCTGAGAGGATACTCTGGCAGCAGCATGGCTGCTGGCATCGCATCCCACATCCACGGCCGTGCCTCCCTGGCCCTGCTCACCTGCGAGCAGAGCGTTGCCTCCTCGTGGAAGTAGCCGTGCATGAACTCGCAGTACTCCCGCGTCGTGATCTCGCAGCTGGCAGAGGGCAGGCAGGGGGCTCGCTCGGGGCAGGGCACACTCCCTGCTCCCCTGAGCATCCCCCTCTGCTCCCAGCAGCTGGTCCTGCTGCCACCATGTTCCCACCCCGCAAGGCTCCATAATCTTCCTCCCCACCCTGCCACAGCTCTGGACACTGATGGGACAACATGAGGCAGGAGGGCAGAGGAGGGAACTGGGCCGGGTGCCCCCATCGCTGTGACCCACCTGCCCTTGGTGCCGATGCAGCAGGGCCTGCCCTTGATCTCACAGTCCAGGTGGGCGAAGCCTGTGTGGTTGGTTTTGGTCTCGTAGGTGCAGATCTAGAAGCAGGAGGGGGAGGAGCCCGGGTCAGGGTCCAGCCCCAGGCTCTGCCTGCAGCTCTCTGCCTGCTCATTGCCCGCTGCCACCATGGAGTCACCAGCTCATGGTGGCACTGGGCTCTTACCGGCCACTTGGTGATGTCATCCGGCCACACGTGGGGTGGGTTGGATGCTGGCTCCTCGCACGTCCTGGTGGAAGCAGGTGGGTGAGTCAGGTGAGTTCCCCTAAGACATCCCTCCCTGCAGACTAGCAATGCCCTCAGACACACACACGCAGCCCTGGGACCTGCCCCTTTCCCTGGCTGGGGAGGGATCCTGCCCACCAAGGGGTGTCCTAAAACACCCCACAGCAGCTCCTTCTGCAGGTGAACCCTACAGCACTCACCCCCACTGATGCCCTGCCCAGCATCACCCATCCCAGCAGAACAGGGACCAGCCAACACAACAGTGTCACCCATTACTGCCTGCATTTAGGACAGACCCTGCCCCAGTTTCTCTACCGATTCCCTCTTCCTTCTCACTCTCCTATGGTGTGCAAGAGCCCCTTGGACAAGAGGATTCAAGGCATCCAAACTGGAAAGGCAGCCCTGGGCAGCCCCTCTGCCATGTCCTGCATGCAGCCAGGTGATTGTGCCACCTCTGCCCAGTTGCCACTTCTACCTGGGGTCCTGGTGACACACAGCTCCTGATGTCCTCTTCTCCCCCGAGCCCATGGTCGGTGCATTACTGCCCGGCCACTTGATGAACGTTGCCAGTGTCTCCTGTGGGAAGGATGGAGAGACTGAGGATGTGACAGGGAATGCACACTCTGACCCCACATGTACCGTGCCCTGGTGCTGCGCAGGGCAGAGATGTTTTCCCCCCTTTTCCCCAGGGATCTCCAGCACTTCCCAGTGCCCACGGCGGCGGCACGCACCGAACAGTCCTGCGGCAGGGTCTGGATGCAGCCCGAGTTGTCGTTCTGGACACAGCAGCCGGAGCCGCGCTCCCGGTCCCGCTCGCGCTGGATGAGCCGCTCCACCTGCCGATCCTTCCGGATGCAGGGGGAGAACTTGGCTCCTAGGTGGATCAGGTCAATCTGGGAGGGAGATGCCGGTCTAGCGGATGCTCTGTCTGCACATCTCCCTTCCCTCCAGCTGCCCCTGGGGAGAGCTCAGCAGGGGCAGGGGGTCTCCACAGGCAATAGACACAGGTCTCTGTTACCCCAATGGGGGGAAGGCAGGTGGGAAGGGGGTGGGGTCTCTTCTGACCACCCCACTGTGATGCTGCAGGTCCCAGAGGGATGGGGGCACTGAGGGACCAGAGCAGCAGGCTGGAATGATGTGGTCAAGCTCTCCCCCCCAGGAAGAGGAGCACCTCAGAGAATTCCCTCAGCTCAGGGCAAGAGGAGCAGAGGGCAGAGCCTGGAATCAAGGGCCAAGGGTCTGGCAGCGTCCTTACCGAGCTGGGCCCAATCCAGAAGTTTTCCTGCTGGATGTACTTGACACTCTCATAGACCCCCTTGTTCCTCAGTACCTGCCAAGAGAGGCCAGGATCAGCTCTCAGTGGGGAAACAGGAGGTATGGGGGGGCATCCCCCTCTCCCTCCACTCCTGAGAGGCTGAGCAGCCCCCTTCATTCAAGGGGAAGGGCTGCTGGGTCCCACCAGCAAGGTTGGAGGGAGAACAGCTCCGCTCCCACCACACATGCTGCTGCAACATGCTGCTGCTCATCCTCCTGCCCTGGCTATTTCATGGAGCCTCTCAAACAGCAGGAGCCCTCCAGGGTGCTCCCACCTCTTGTAGGGAACATGACACCCCGGGACACTGGTGGTCACAGTCCCCCCAGGAAGATGGCTCTTAAGCTTACCAAGTCTGTCGTCACGTGCTGGGCGAAGCCGATGGGGGCGATGCCGTAGGTGCCAATGACCAGCAAGGTGATGAGGATGTGCACAAAGGTGATCCAGTACGTGAAATACGGCCTGCAGGGGACAGGACCCAACATCCGAGCAGCTCAAGGATGGCTGGGCAAAGGGACACTGCAGCCCCCCAAGCCCTGGTCCCCATGCATTGAGGGGGACACACATCTGGGTTACAGCCAGGGTGTCCCGCACCCATCCCCGTGCCCTCAGTCCCCCTCACCGGTGGCTGTCGGTGATCTCCAGCTGTGACTGCACCATGCTGCTCAGGCTGCGGCGGTACGTCCTGTTCAGCCACTTGCCCACCACCCCCAGCCCGTAGTAGCGTTTCTTGCGGTCGAAGGCAAAGTGTTTCACCTTGGAGGCGATGCGCCTGCCTCGCCGGGGGGCCGCGCCCGCGCCGCCGGACACCGAGGCGAGCCGGGCACCCTCCCGCCTGCGGAGAGAGGAGAAACCCATCACAGCTGCCAAAAGGGAGCAGTTGAGAAATACCCCGTGGCTGCAGGGATACCCTGGGATAACGGCTGGGAGCACCTCCTGGCTTCACCCTCCTAGGAGCACACTGAAGTGCCTGGTGCCCTGTGGCAGGGATGGCTGGGGACATTGGCCTGCCTGCAGCAGGGCAGCGCCTGCTGAGAGTTGGTACTCACGAGGTGGGCTGCTCCACCTCGGGGGACACCCTGGCATCCTCCCCCACATGGTGCATGCGTAAGTACGTGGCTGATAGAGGTGGTGACTCGAAGACATCATCGGGCATGGAGTACGTCTCGTCGTGCATGTCCATCTGGAGGGAGAAGGGATGTGTGTTCTTGGATGTGTGCCATGGGTCAGAAGCCTCCCCCTGACCGAGCATCCCCCAGGTCAGGGGGAGGGGGTGATCCCCACTGAGATCTCATTAACTGCACATCACAGGGCGTGAAATGGAGATCAGGGCATCACCCGTGATGGTGACAGCACTCCCTGGCACCCCCAAGGAGCATCGCCAAGACTGGGGCACAGCAGCCACCAATGCCCCTGCTCGTGAGGTGGGGTGAAGCATTGACACAGGGGTCCTTGTGAGAGCCCTGCTCCACATCCAGCCCCCCTTCAGGGGCACTGGGACAGCCCCCCACCCTGGTGGCCGGCATGGAACGTCGCTTGCCTTACTGAAGAAGGACGAGTCCAGGGTATCAGCAGCATCCACCATGTCCTCATCCATGAAGCTGGGGTACACGAAGCTCCTCTTGTTGCTCCTCCGCTTGGGAGCCAGTGGCTCCAGGACAGAGCGTCCCTTTGGCAGGGGAAGCAAATGAGGGTAAGAAGCCAGAAGGCCCTCAGGTTTTGCAGCACCAAGGGTTTCTCATAGCTTCCCTCCCCAAAGCCAAGGGGCAAGGATTAAATCCCAGTCAGCCACCATATTCTCCTGTGTGGGAAGGGTTGGCAGCAGGAGCTGGCAGCAGGTGCTGCCTTTTGCTTGTCAGAGCCAGCACTGGGCCACAGCCATGTCAGTCAGCATGACAAGTGACCTCTGAATCTGTCTTGTCTCAGTCCCACAAACCCGTCCCCAAGGCTTGCCGAGGGCTCATCAGGAGCAAGAAGGTTGCTGAGAAGCTTCCTGGCTCCTCAGCGATGGAACCCAGAAGCTGCTTTTTTCTAAGATTGTCCAATTTTCGCCAAAACCCTTTTTAAGTGGAGCTCAGGTTAAAAACCACCAATCTCGCCTCTCAAACCCATCCTGGAGAGGCAGCGGTGTCCACGTAAAGCCAACAGCCAGGAAGCAAAGGTGATGGGCGAGGGACAGAGCTGAAACCTGGCTCAGGAAGAAGATGATGGCCCCCCAGGCTCCCAAAACTCACGCGGAGAAGGGCTGCAGCCGCCTTGAAGCTCATGTGGGCGACAGACTCCCTCTTCCTGCGCGGCAGGCGGGCGTGGCCGGAGCGGATGCTGTTGAAGGACGCCAAGGAGACAACGCCGGGGGTGAGCGGGGGCAGGACGTGGTGGGGCGTGTGGGGACGGTCGGTCTCGTCGGGGTGGCGGAAGGGACGGCCCCTGGCCAGAGGGTCCACGATCTGCAGCAGGGAAGAGGTGTCAGTGCTGGGAGAGCAAGGTTTGGGAGCAGGACCCCCCTCTCCCGAGCTCTACCTTGGGCATCTTGGCAGGCTTGGGCGACTCGGTGCCTTGGAAGGAGGGCACCTCCTGGCTGGGCAGCTCCATGTCGCGATAGGCAGGCTTCAGCTTGCCATACCTCATGCTGCAGTGCTGCAGGCTCTTGCGCTGCCACTGCTGGCGCTTCCCCTCCCAGTCGCTGCTGACACCAAACCATTCCGCTGTGCCCCTGGACACAAGGTGGGCACACCTGTCACACAGTTGGTCCCCTCACTCCAACACCACCATTCCACCCAGGCATCCCCTCTAGCAGGTGGTCTGGGTTGGGTCTGTCTCAGCCCAGCCTGCAGCAGGGCAGTTTTGACCTGGCAGGGAGATGAAGGGAAGTGGGGGAAAGTCCTTCTCGCATTGCCTTCTGAGACATGACTCTCCATTCCCATCCCAAGCCCTCTGCTGGTACCCACAACAACCTGACAGGGGCCCCTCCAAGTGACCCAGCCACCGCAGGAGCCCACCCTGCCCTCACTTGCGGATGCTCTGGGACAGGGAAGTCTGCCGGCGGAATCCGTGCTGGCGTTCCAGGCGGGGCTCCTGCAGGCTCTTGCTCTTTCGGTAGATGGGGACCTTGGAGGGCTGGAAGGCAGAGCAGGGTGTTAGGGACAGGGGGGCATGGGGGGGTTCCCCAGGGACAGCAGCCCCTCAAACTCAGCATGGGACAGATGCAGCTCCACCACTCACCTCCTTGGGGGCACCATCCTCCTCCGCCTCCCGGGGTGGGATGACGATGGAGAGGTTGGGGGGCTTCTTGCTCTGCAGGCGGCTGCTGCTGGAGCGGCTGCCCCCGTTCTTGTCACCGCCTGACATCTCGGGCCGGCGGCGGTGGGCAGGCTGGGAGGGTGCAGGGAGGCAGTGAGAGGGGAAAAAATACCTCCCCAGGAGCTCATGTGGGGGGAAAAGCTGGGTCCCAGTGGGATTTGGAGCCTCACCAGTGGGATGTTACCAGACTAAGCCCCCTGTGCCACTGGCTGTGCTGGTGAGACCTTGCCACCATCAGTCCAGCTGCTGCATCCCCAAAACCCAGGGGACAGACAACGCCTGAAAATACTCAATCCACATCCCCAGACGCACCACAGCTCCCACATGGACCCACCACGTGTTTGGGTGCCCCATGGGAGGGGAGATGCAGGTCATTCCCCTCTGGCATGTGCACACACATGCCAGGCTGGGAGACTGAATCCTCCCTGGCACCACGTGCGAGGAGGGGGAAGCTTAACAGCCAAGAGGTGGTTAATTCCTCAAGCAATCCCCTCCCAAGGGTCCCTGCAGTTGGCTCTATCAGGCAGGACTTTGCAGGAAAAGTAATTCCATTCAAGCACAAGAGAGTGAGCCCCAGATCCTATTAGGGGCTATGGGGGTAATCGAAGGGAGGCACAGCCCCCTTTGACCTCTTCCTGTCCCCCCTGACCATGTGCCAGTGCACAGGGGACTCACATAGGTCTCAGAAGCATCCCTTGTCCCCATGGGACAACCATGGTCATGGGGATGGTGTCACCTGCTGTGCTTGCCCAGTGCCACTTGCTGTGAAATGCCAGCTCAATCCACAAACCTGGCTCCTCTCCCTGCACGAGATCCCAATAATCAGCCTTCTGTGGCTCCACTCTCCTTAGGAAATGTCATTTGAGCAACCAGCTGAGTGATTGGGATCCCACCAGCCCCCTCTGCAACTGGATCCCATCAGCAGCCCATTCCCAAAGCAAGAGTCAGGCACAGGGACACGTTTGCAGCTCCCCCAGCACTTGGACTCCTGAACACAACCCTCCCCTTTAAACTCCACCACAAGCAAAGCCTAGCTTTAGGAACATGGGGTGCCCATGGGATCAGGTCCATGGGAATGTAGAAGTCCAGAACCAGCTTCCTGGGGATGGAGAAGCCTGGAGCTGGTGGCACCACTGGGAATTGCTGCCCTTCTGGGCCAGGTGGTGGCCTGCTGTCCCTGCGTTAAAAAGGGTGCTGGGCTCCTTCTCCAGCACCAAAGCTGGGAGCAACCAACTCCCAAATTTCCCCTGGGGACTCAGCCAGGGCTGGTTCCCGCCAGGGTTTCCTTACCTCATAAGAGGGATCCTGTGCAGTGTGTCTTGATGGCAAACGCCCACGGCAGCCTTGCTCTTCCTCTGTCCTTCACGCACGGGAGCCCTGGGACACGGCTGAATTCCTCCCCCCTCGCCTGTGGGGAGAGAGGCTACGATGAAAAGCCATGCATGGGAAAGCAGGAGAGGGCTGCAGGAGCATCCTGGGAGAGGGAGAGCTGAGCTCAGTGCTCCCTGGACCATGGGGACAGGGCTGCAGGTGACTGGACACCACGGACATGGATCAGCCTCTGGCACAGAGCGGCAGGAAGATGAAGAGGCCCCATTTAGAGCAATGCTCTGTGGTAGGGAACAGCATTGGGCAGGCAGGGAGCTTTCCCCTGCTGCTGCCACGCAAAGCTCTTGGGAAGCAAGACACCCAGGAAGAGCGGGCATGAAACACAAGTGCCGTGCTCACTGTTTCATAGCTGCTGAACTGGGAGAATGCCAGCCCCAGCAAACAAAACTTTCTGTCCTGCTGGTGAGCTGGAGACACTGTTTGTTTTCCTCCCAGGGCAGTCAGCAATGAGCCTGGGATGCCAGCTGCTCCAGAGAGCTGGGAATGGGAACACGCTGTGGTCAGAGCAATCCTTGGGACACCCTTAGCCTCGTCCAGCTCCAGGGAATGGCTCTCAGTGGTGAGAGCCAGCAGAGCCAGAAGCACTGAAACCGGAGTCCGATTCTTACACAGCCCCACTCTTACACCCCAACCCCAAAACCCCACCCCCAATTGCCCCCATCACACCCCAGACAGCCCTTGGCCAGGCTTCCCAGCAGAGCAGGTTTGTAGCACGTTTTAAAATCCCGGTCTCGCTCCCCAGCAGCTCCCCAGGCAGGGGGGGTGCAGGGGCAGTCCTGGCCTGCCCCGAGGTGACGCAGCTCCCGGGGCAGCTGGCACAGCCCGGCGGGCACCTGCCGTCCGGTCACGCGGTGCGGCCGGAGCGGCTTTCATGGCTCGGGGCATTAGGGCAGCATTTGGCACTGGGCAAGAGGGGGGAGGAGGGCAGCAGCCCACGAGGGCTCAAGTCTCCTTTTCCACATGGGCTGCGGGCAGCAGCCACCCCCCCAAGCACAGGCTCTGAGCCACAAGAAGTCTCACCCTGTGCCAGGCAGAGAAATCCCTCGGGGATGGTGGTGGGCAGGTGTTTTCCAGCTCCCCACGTGTTTGGTGCTGGCACCCAACCCTCCAGAGCTGGCATGCTCAGCATGAGAACGGGCCAGCCGGCGCCTCCATCCAGAGCCAGCCTGCCATAAGCTTGGCTGTCTGGATCACTACGGTCCTGGGCCCCTGTCACCCTCCCAGCCCCAGGATGGAGGGCTATGCCACCAGGAACACGGCTCCCTGCCTGGCAGACCTGGCAGCAGCAGTGCCATTGAAGGGCACAGCCTGGCTGTGGGTCCCCAGGGAGCCTCAGCCCAGTCCCTGGGTGCTCGGGGTGGACGTGGTGGCTCTGTCCTGGGGACAGAAAAGGGAAGTGAGAGGGGATGTGCTGAGCTGACACGGGGGGATGGCTGAGCAAACACACTAATGCAGGGACAAGGCAGGTGACAGCAGTGGAGGGTGACAGACATGGGACTCAGCACCCATGAACATGTCCTGAGCTTGGTAGGAACTGTGCTTTGGGCTGGAAGAAGGGTCCTGGGGTAGCACGATGTCACTTCAGGTTGTAAAAGATATCCATGCCCTGGGGATGCTGCCATTACCCACGGGAAGTGATAAATGGGCAAGGGGTGGAGGGGGGTCACCTAGTCTGGTCAATAAGAAGAAATCCCCCACCATCACCACCTTTCCCTCCCAGAGCTCTTGCCCACTGAAGCTCACCAAAGCCTGACATCCAGCCACGATGGACAGAGCCCGTGCTCCAGCAGCAGCAGGGGGTGAAGCCCTCATGCCCCCTCAAGAGGGCAGGTGTGTTGGCGTCACTGGGGAGCAACTGGGATGAGGTTTTAGTCTTCAACCAGGCAAGGCACAAGGAAGGTGACCAGGACTGGCTCCCAGCCCCAGGGTGAATCACAGCAAATGCTGACCCAAGGAAGCACACCCAAGGAAGAAAGTGATGGAAAACATGATGTGGCTCGTACAAGGCATCATCACAGGACACGCTGGGATGGTCTGAGCAACACAAAGGGACCATCAGCAAGGCCAGGTGAGCAGAACTGGGACACCCAAGCACAACTGTTGTATGAGACACTGGAGACAACTCTGCAGAGCAGCCCTGGTCAGAGGGGGGGGTGTATGCAGCACAGGGTTCATAGATGTTTGGAGAAGGATTAGGGTCTCTCTCCCTGAGCCTGTTGGTATGGGGGGAAGCAAGATTACCAGTGCTGGAATAACAGTGCATCAGGTTGATGCAATTAAGCTGGAGGAGAAAGCAGCTCTGAGCCACCCAAGGGTGCAGGGACAGGAGTGGGACCCCCACAAGCACCCATCACACCCATCACTCAGAGCATGAGGAGCCCTTGCTCTTCCCTCTCCATCTCCACAGGGGAGTGAGAAAGGGGTCAGCAATACCACAAAGCCCCCAAACACACCCACAACCTGCACTGCCGCTCACACCCAAGAGTCCATCAGGCAGAGCTGCTGCTGCTGCCCATAAATGATTCACAAGCACGTTAAAGTCCTCTCTCAAGGCTGGAGCTGCGTTAAAAGGTGCTCCTACAGTTATTAAGAGCTCTGGATAGGAAACTCGATTGGTGTAATTGCTCTGAGCATTGAGCCCCTGTGGACTCACATCCGAGTAGTGTGTGAGAACCCACTGCCCAGAACCTTCCCCCATCCTGCTCCCTTTTGAAGAGCTTTGGACCATTTTCCAGTCTCAAGTTTCAGATCTTGAGAGAAGCAGCCCAGCACAAACAGCTCTTGAAATGAAAAAATATTATTGGGGGAAGTAAAAAGGAAAAATATTCCATCTTCTCCCCACGTGTTCCAGCCCTGTTGCAATTGACTCAGTCAGCAAAACATGCAGGGTTTCACTCTGAGTCTCCAGAGAGGCCCTCTGTGCTTCAGGGGGTATTTTAAGCTGCCTTCTCCCTCACCACTGAGCCACATGGTCAGCATGGACACCCACAGGGGCTTAAATCCTCATCTCTGTGATGGCTGGGGTGGGAAGACAGAGTACAGGTGCCCAGTGGGTGCTGGGATCCCTTCCAGTCCCTGAGGTGTGCAGGCAGCCAGCACACACCTCGCCCACGCTGCCATTAGAACATCCTCTCCCATTATTCTGCGTCGGGCAGGACATTGGGCAACAGCAGCAGGTTTGCTGAGCCCAGGCGGGCTGGGAGCACGGCACGCCCCGGGAGGAAGGAAAGCGGCCGGGGAGATAGAGCGTGGCAGCGGGGGGGCTGTGCTGGACCCGCTGATAAGGGCAGAGCCCTGCCCGCGGGCAGGGGAGCGGGGGCCGGGGGCAGCTCAGCTGCTCACCCCATTGCACACAGCAGCCACGCACTGGGCTGCCCTGCCGGGAGGGTTGGAGTGCTGGGAGTGTGGTCCCGGACCCTCCGGCAGACCTGGGTGATGCCATCGTACTGGCATGGAGAGGGAAGGATTTGCCTGCAAAGTCTGGAAAGAGCCATGTGGAGGATTTCCCACGTCCCGGCCACAGCCCATTTCCCACCCTCATTAATTTTTACCAGTGCAACGACCCCCACCCATCCCAGCAAAGCAAGTGCCAGCACCCAAAGGCTTCCCAGCCCTCAGCCCTGGTGAGCTGGGGTCCCTCTGTCCCTCTGTGCCACTGG